CACACACACACACACACACACACACACACACACACACACACACACACCCTGATATATATATATGCACACATACATTTATACATTGGTGTTGTTGTTGTTGTTGTTTGCTGTTTGTTTTCCAGTTTTCTCCGTTTATTTTTTGTAAGTTACTGAAGTCTAAGTGCTGAGTTAACATGGTTTAATTATAATTAACTGCACTTCAGTGAACTTAAGCAAGTGTTAGAAGAGTGAAAGAGAACTCGGGAAAAAAAAAAAATCAAAATTTAAAAACAAAGAAATTCTCTAAAAATGTATGTGTGGAGAGAAAGTTAAAACACAAAAACATACGCTTTCCTTTCTCGGTTTCAATTCATTCACTAATTTGTGTATTTGTGTTTGTGTTTCTGAAGCGAAAGATTTCACTGTTTGTGTATATATATATATATATATATATATATATATATGCTGTTTACAAAAATTACACCATTTTTCCAAATGAGCACTTTCTGGGGTATTCCGTTTTATACGTCTTTTATTTTTTTCTGTCCTAATGTTGGGGTTTATTTGTATTTATTATTGTCATTGTTGTATGTAAGTTTTGTTCCGTACTTGTCAACAACATTTATGTTGACATTTAGTTAATTAAAATAAATTTATTAAACATACTGACGGAGAATAAACGAGAAGCATGAAAAATTTACTTTAGTTCTTTTCCTTTTTTTTTATCATTATATATTTCGATTCCGATGAAATTCGTGATTTTAATTATCATCTTCTCTTTTATACAAAACCGTGTATTAATGTATGTTTTGCGAACAGTTATGCGAACGATAGCTCTAAAAGTGTTGGGATGCAATTATCGTTCACTATTTATATTTCAAACCTAACGCCTAACATGGGCAAGAGAGTAAAGTGATCTCGACTAAATTTATTTTTTTTTTCATATATATATTTGATCATTCAGGGTCAAAAACTGGTAAAGATAGAGGACGAGATGAAAAAGGAAATAATTGTTTATATGCTTTCGACTTGAAAATGAGAAATTTTTATTTATTCATTTTCTATTTTCACATTATTATGGTTTTCTTTAATTACAAGAAGCATAAGACATAAGCATCAAGCAGTAGAGTAGTAAGAGTGCGACTGAGAAAACTTATCGAGAATGTAAAGTTACTTTTCAAAAAACTCTCAACGAAGACATGATGCAATCGATGATAAGTCGAAGCCATATAGATGGCAAATCCAACTATTAGACACTCTACATCATTTCATCCTCGAATAAAATACTTAACCTTTTCTTTACTTAGGCTTACTTTTCATAAAAATCATTCATTATACCTAAAGACAGTAAATTTATATGTTATATCACTATCTTGGAACAACTTTCATCACAAAACATTAAAGATTAAACGTCATTGCCAATATAAAGGATCAGTTCTCATCAGAGCTCTTATATCGCTCTTAAAGGCCACAAAATGAACGGGCATGACCCACATTTAGTAAGATTAACTTTGTTTGCCCTAAAAACTTAGTATTCTTCATTTTTTTTGCATTAGGGAATAGGAAAAATTGGTTTTTATTACTGTATAGAAGTTTATCAATCTGTAAGCTAATTCATATAAGAGAGGATCGTAAAGACGCTCTTATTCAATTAAAATTTCCCCCGTTCAGTTGCTATAACAAAATATTATATTTTATCGACAAATATTAAATATAGGAAATTTTTTTAGGACGTTATGTAGGAAGTAATTGCAAAAGTAATCCTATATATTTTCAAATATATCAGTATATTGGTGTATGAAATTTCATCAAAATACCTTTAAAATTGTCGCACATATAGATTGAAAATAAGTATAAAAAGGCATATGGATGGATGAATTTAGCGACAGACGGACGGACGTAATGTAAAAATTAATTCAAAATGTTGCGAATCGACTCGTATAATAAAAGTTAGTCATATGCCTATGCCGTTCTCAGTGTTCCAAACATTCCCTTATTTACTGCAAGAGTTATACGGTATAAAGGCGGGAACTCATTCCTCATTTAAACTTTTATTTTTTCTTAAATTTTTGCAATTAATATTTTATTTTCTTTTTTTGCTCTATTTTTAGTTAAGACGATCCAAAAAGCCTATTGACTTAAACGCAACGCACTCCGTACCGTTCTTATTATACTTATAAGAGATTATCGAACACTGCAACTTTAATAATGGACCATAGATGTCCGCTGCAGCTGAAACAACATCGTCGGTATTTATGGCCTCAGCTCAACAAATGAATGTTTACTTTTAGGTTGCGCTTACTATACGAACAATAGCAGAAAACAAATAATAGATGAAGCTAACCGCAAACCAAACTTAAAATAAAATATTAAAAAAAGAAACAAACAGAAAAGAGAAAAATTTTTAACCCCTTTTTGTCGGTTGTCGTTGGAGGCTTTACCTACACCATCTCTATACATATGAGTATAGTTTGAACAATCGACCAGTGTTAGCAGCTAGACTCTTCCAGCATTTGCAAACTTTGAAACTGGAAAATAATCTGCAAATAAAAACGCAATACTTTTCTAAAAAAAAAAAAACAAAAAAATCAAAAAAAAAACAAAAAAAAAAAGGAGAAGGAAGGACGAAAAGTCACATTTTAGTATATGAGTCTCTGTATTGGTGTATACGGGGGAAAGACATTTAAGGATGAAAAAGCTTTTATTGAAATAATCTGACTGCGAGTGTAAATAGAGCCTGCAACAAAGGAAAACAATAACTGCAACAACTCAACTCAAACTAAAAACCATATGTTAACATCTATACCACCATCAGTAATGAGAAAAAAAATGTGTTGATAATGTATCATGTGAAATAAAGAAAGGAGAGTAACATCACAATTCAACTTTTTTGTATATATATATATATATATATATATATATATATATGAATTAATTTGTCGTATTAGCTGTCAGTTATATCTTATAAAACTTCCCTGACTGCATTTTTATACTTTATATCTAAGCCAAGTGCGAAGAGCAACTTATCTACGATATTTGGCATAGAACCTAATGCATTATTAACCGCGAAAATTCCTCAGGCTTCCATTTTAAGCTTACATACCTCACTTACCTCGAACATTATTAGAGATAACACCACCACCACTACTACCACTACCACCACCACCACCACCACCACCACCACCACCAACATAATAAATATAATAAAAAAATAATAAATATAAAAGAAAAAAAAAAAAAAATAATAATAATAACAATAATAATAATAGCATCATTGATAAGAACAAGAAGCGGCTGCCATTATCACAATCACCCCACAACAATAATCAATACAGACCTCTGAACAGGAAAGGGACGATAGCATCATTTCTATATAATAATAATACCGCTGAAAAGATGAAGATGTCAAAATTATCTAATCAAACTAACTCTCAGGATCCACAAGCCGTTAATTCGCGTATATTCGTTGGAAATTTGAATACATTTCAATGCTCGAAAACGGATGTCGAACGTATGTTTCAAATTTATGGGCGTTTGGCAGGTTCGTCTATAAGTTTTATTATCATTATTATTATTATTATTATTATTATTATTGTTAATTTAATTAGCCAGAGAATAAATTTCAAGTTTTCTTCAAATCCATTTTTTTTAATATATTAAAAATATTTTAATTAAATTGAAAAAAGAAAAGAAGAAGAAGAAGAGAATTTATGAGAAAAAATTCTCATCTATTATTATTTACATGTTGCAGGCATTTCCATGCACAAAGGTTATGCATTCGTACAATTTACAAATCCGTTTGATGCTCGCAATGCTTGCCTAGGAGAGGATGGGAAAACCATTTTAAGTCAAACGCTGGGTAAGTAGTATTAAAATTTTTCAAAAAATATTTATCCTCTTGAATTTTCGGAAATATTTCTTAAAATTTGATTACAGTTACTCTCTCTCTCTCTCTCTCTCTCTCTCTCTCTCTCTTAGAGTGTAACTTAGCTATAATTTTTAATTTTCATTCTGGTGTATTGACCTTAACGGCGGATGCATAAAATCTATTTTCAAAAAGGAAAAACATTTTTCTACACATAACATGCATTACAATGGAGGGCAAAAAAGGTCTTTTAAACTGTATAGCAAAGAAAATATTACCAGTAATAGACATATACAGGCAAATAAGGCACATCGGGTACATCAGGCGCATATTATACAAAAGCCAAAGCAAAAGTATATTAGTTGCCATGACGAACATTGCAAATATATTCCGTTTTACAGTTTTTTTCGCTTTTTTTTTTTGCATTTGCATTTGCCTTAGCAGTGTGTGTTTGTGTGTGTGTGTGTGTGTGGGTGGGGGGAAGGGTATGGTAGCTAAGTTTCTTGCAACGTTAGGCGTTTACTTTAAATTATCTAGTTTATGTGTTGTCTGTCAGTTTGAAAATGATAGCAAGCTTGTACATTTCAGTACACTATACTATCCATGTTGTAGCCTCAAGATTATACTTTCTTATTTATCTTAAGTTGGGTGCTCAAAATTCCATATCAATGGATAGTTTTCGTTTTCTTTGTACATGTCCGTTTTTTTACAGTTATTTTAAACGCTTCTAACGTGTCCGGAAATGAATGAATTAAAGATTTTAGTTATAGCTCTCAACGAAGTTTTAATTTATTATTATTATGTAATTGTATGCTTTGTTTCGAACGGTATTCGTTTAAAACCAGAAAAGTGCAGTGAAATTTCCTAAAAATTACACAAAGACAAAGTCCCTCGATGTTGAAGATTTGCAAGTAGCGGAAGCAAACTTTTTTACTTCAAACAAGTAACAACGCTGTAGTGAGCCACGGTCCTCAGTGTATTAAATGCGCTATATATATATATACAAACCCACACACAAACACACACACACACACATAC